ATTCTTTATTATAACGAAACATAAAAATAAAGTAACACCCCTAATCCCTATCATCTTCCAAGGGCTATCTACAGGCAGTTCTTATAACCTTCCAAGGACTTTTTAAGTGGCCTTTATAACCTTCCAAGGACTTTTTAAGTGGCCTTTGTAACCTTCCAAGGACTTTTTAAGTGGCCTTTATAACCTTCCAAAGGCTAGCTAAGAATAATCCCTATAACTTTCCTAGGGCTAACCGAAAACAGTCTTTATAACCTTCGAACGGTTTTCTAATGGGCCTTTATAACTTTCCACAGGTTATCCAAAGAGAATCCCTATAACCTTTTAAGAGTTATCTAAACCGGTGCGTCTCATTTGAGTTACTTTGTTTAATTTTTATTTTTAGGCGCATTGAAACAAAAATTTATGTGATTTATTTATTTTTTCTTAATAATCCGTAACGAATTAAATCGAAAAAAAAAAGCTTCTTTTACGACCCTGGTAATGCGATAATAAAATTTGTTCTTAATTGGAAATTAAAAAGAACGATTAACTTGTATTAAACTTGGGATGTGGTAATACATTTAAAATTATTTTATAAACTGTTTTTAAGAGAAACTATTTACATCCTATGTTTAAAAATTAATAACCAATATGATTATTTACTAAAACCAAGTCTTTTTATTTTATCCCGTTTTAAATTTAAAAAAAAAATTTCATCTAAAAATCCAGTTTTTTCGTGATCAAAATCCAAAGACAAAATAATATTTATTTTCTACAATGCCTCTATTAAAGTAAAACAACTTTGTATAAAACTAATGGTTGGCCGTAAAAATGTCGAAAGGAAAAATGTCGAAAGGAAAAATGTCGAAAGGAAAAATGTCGAAAGGAAAAATATCGAAGTGGAAAAATGTCGAAAAATAATGTCGACATGAAAAATGGGTGATAAATGTTTTATACAGTTGTTAACAATAAAGAACATGTTTTTATTATATGAGTTAATGTTAACGTTGTAACAGAGACCAAATATAGATAATGAAAAAAAAAATCGATTTGTCATTTTTTCTGTTTAGCAACTGTAAATGATAAAGCGTCCAAATATTCCATAGCACTTATAGCACCATCATAATATCGTTGGCCAAGATTATCTATACGACGTTGAATAGCAATTGTTTTAGCCTGTTTTTGTCTAATGCCTAAACCTGCGCTAAACTGAACATACATATGATGAAAACGATTTTCTTCTCCTTGCAAAATTTTTATGAATGACCAAATATTTGGATGATTAACTTGTACTCGACGATTAAAACGACTATGAAATGCTATATTAAACATAAGAAAATGATATTTCGAGTTAAATAAAAGAAAAAGTTCACCTTCAGCATTATTATTGGTCCTTATGTTAAGACCATGTACACACCATTGAGAAATAGGAACTTTTACAAACCATTGCTGTTGAAAATATTCTAATAAATCATTTAGTGTGTCCTTCAATTGTTTTGGCATTGTTGCAATTAAATCATCATAAGTATCTTCAATAATAGCTTCTGGTAGTAATGGGAGAGCCATCAATTTTCGACAATATTGTTTAACATCATCATCATCATTATAGGATGTTGATAAACCAACGCGTTGTATTGCTCGATATATGGCTTGAGTGAAGTGGAAATAGCACGATGAGTGTGTTACTGTAGCAAGCTATTAAAAACAAAAATCTGTAAATTACTCTCGAGAAATATAAATAGCTCACTTCAGCTGAAACTACAGTCAATAGTCCTGGTTCAAAATCACTCATGATTGTTTTTGGTGCGAAATTTAATTGCATTTGTAAAGCGATTGATTTCAATTCATTGAACATGAAATGATATGTACTTTTCTGTCGATTAGGTAACAAACCAAAAACACAGGGAAAGGCTAAATAGAAACATAATTAGATATAGTTATATGATCTAGAGTTATGCTCTTTACTCACACTGATCGTATTTCATTGCATGAATGGTGTAAACTTGATCGAACATGTTCGGACAAGTAGAAAAAATTCCATCCATTAGTATTGTTTCAGCAGTGAAAAGCATTTTCAGTTGTTCATTTGATGAAAACAAAAGTATTCGTTGTCGTCTTGTTATCATCTTGTCAACAATCAAAAAATCATTTTTGTGCAATGTTTTCGAATAAGCATCAGGAATATCAAATAACTGTGTCGTTGGGATTGTAGGTGTAATAGCCCACCGTGCTTTGTTAATTCCACTATCTTCAAAGTATGAAAAAAAAATCGTCAAGCGGACTTAAAAGTAAAAGAATAATATTTGCATACTCATTTCACATTCACTTGGTAATACAGCTATTGTAGCATCTGACAACATTGCTTTTGCACATTCTTCATCAAATATACGTGGAATTGGTGTTGTTTCATTTATTGCTCGTTGTTTGACTTTTTCACGAAATTCACGAACTTCAAGTTTTTCTTTTTCTGCAAGATGATTATGATCACCAATCGTTTTAATCAATTGACTATTTAAATCTGTATGTACTTTAGCTGAACATCCATTAAGTGTACATATCCAATATTTAGTAGTAGTTGTTGTTTTATTCAATTTGAAAACATAGTTATTTGCTACGAGTAAAGGTTTTCCTTTATTTGAATTTATAAATGAAATAGCTGGAGATTTTGGTTGAGTAGCTTCAGTTGAAGATACAGCAGCTTCAGCCATGACAATAGAATTTTATTTATATAATAGTTCTTCGTTCAACTCTTTTATTTAATTTATTTTAGGTATTAGTCATCATCATTACTACTGGTTAAACTTCTATACTAGTAGAATTATAAGGAAAGTAACGATCACCTAGACGTGATTAGAGTCACCATCTACTAGAGATTTTTTTTTTTCGATATTTTTCTGTTTCAATATTCTTCCACTTCAATATTTACTTTTCGACATTTTTCCCCTTCTATATTTTTTCTTTCGACATTTTTCCCTTTCGACATTTTTCCTTTCGATATTTTTCCTTTTCGATATTTTTCCCCTTCGATATTTTTCCTTTCGACATTTTTCCCCCATTTTTTTCGACATTTTTCCCTTTCGACATTTTTCCTTTCGACATTTTTCCAGCACACCAAACTAATTGGCGCTCGATTATTTAATTATGCATCTGCATCGTTGTGTTGTCATGAACTGCGTAAAACACTTCATTAAAACAGATTAGTCTTAACCAAAGATTTATATTTGGAGTATTTACCTTTGCTATTCAATGATTAAATAAGAAAAATTGTATACTTAAATAACTGAACAAACTAGAAGAAATTTGCAATAGTTCATCCAACTATATCAATTTTCTTTGAAAAGTAAGAAAATCTTAAGTTGATTCTTAAAAATATTATTTCATTTTCTCCTATTATTTTCTTTAATCTTTTAGTTTTATTGATATCTGATCACTTAAATGAAAAATAAAGATAATCTTTCATATAAAATGCCTATTATTTTAAAATTAATTTAACTAATGACTGAACCAATAGAATTTTATTGGACCAAAACACAGCATGGTGCACCAGCTATTTAGATTGGGAACAATTTGTATCGCATTCAAAGAAAGAATCTTAATGGATCAATTCGATTTACTTGCACCAATGAGCGTTGCAATGCATCTGCTACATTATATGACAATAAATTAAAATTCATAAGGGGCATCCACCAACATGAAGAACGAGTTTTATCATTTCATAGCAGAGAAATTGTCAATAAATTTCAACAAGCTACTATTTCTGATATTAGAACACCGCTCCCCCAAATCTATGATCGAATTGTAAAAAAGATTTGTATGCATGCATTCAGTTTCTTTCTTTTAATTGAAATATTAAAAATTTCAGCGTCATGAATATGGTACAGCAACAAAAATGTCAATGTTTCAACAAATTCGTTGGACAGGCTATCGAAAACGTTTAAAAGTATTACCACCTTGTCCTAAACGAACGAATTTACGATCATTCGAAATTCCTCAATCTTTTCATTTAAATTCATTGAAAGAACCTTTCCTAATTCATGATTCTGCTGATCCTTATCGTATTATTGTTTTTGCATCAAAAACGTCTTTACGTTATCTCGGTATGTTTATAAAGAAAGATAAAAAAATAAATGAAAATTAAAAAATACTATAAAAACGATTTTCTACTAAAAAAATAATAATAAAGAAATACCATTAAAAATAGTTTTGATTATAATTCATAGCTGATTTCCTACATTTCCAATCTTTTACCATTTATTTGTGATTATATAAATAGACAATATATTTACAAACTATTTTCAGAGATATTATATAAAATTCTTTTTTTCCATTCTATTTTTATTATTAAATAAACCCCCAAAAAAATATTAGATCAACTTTATCCATTTTTATTTTGCATTTACAACTTGAATTTAATAGGTACTTGCACGACCATTCATTCTGACGGTACCTTTAAAACCGCTCCACGATACTTTAAACAGTCCTATACAATCCACGGTTGGTGTGCCGATACAGGTAAATAAAATTAGTCTAAGAAAAAACCTATCAAATGAAGTATACGAGAAATAGACATTCAAAAATAAAATAAATTGATGGAATATTTTTAAAGAAAAAGAAACATAATTTATTATCATTTAAATTATAGGAAATATTGTAATCGAAATTGATTCGCTGTAAACATACGGACTTTTCACTTTCTCAGACAATAGAATAATCGTCGGTAACATAACGAACATAATATATTTGATCAACTTCCATAGTTTGTGATATTGTTTAAGCAAGATCGTATCGAAATAAACATAAATTAGTTTAGCAAAATATCAAATAAAAAGAAAAAAAGATATTTCTTCCCTTTTAATGCTCTTGATAATTATATTTTTAATATTAATAACTTATAATATAAAAGGCGAAAATATTAAATTATTCATAAAACATAAAATAATTCCTACCATGTATTGATGACTATTTAGAGCCGTAAAACATATCACATTTAATGCGAACATTAAAAGATACAATATGAGTATGTGATACCGTTTTAGATGATATTTCTTTAAAAGGTAGTGCAATCCTGATACCATCAATATAGAAAATCTTAATACCCTTCGTTGTATGTTTCTTCTAAATAAAAGCATTTGAGATGATTTAATCTTACTATTTTATTAAATATTCGGTTACAGGAACGAAGCCAGTATGTTATTCAGCAACAGAAAAAAAAGACCTAAAAACATATCTTACTTTATTCCAATCATTAAAGGATGCAGCAATAGCATTTGGCATTAATATAGCACCATCAAGTCATTTAATTGATTTTGAAATTGCTGCTTCAAAAGCTTCAAAAGAATTTTTTCATAATACAGATATTTCTTACTGTCATTTTCATTTCGCTCAAGCTATCTGGAGAAAAATAAAAAATCTGAATAGTGTCATTCATGAACACTTAATTCTCTCTATTATGCATATGCTATATGTTTATTATTCAGACTTAATAATTGAAGCACATGAAAAAAATATACAAAAGCATATTGTAGATTTAATTAGTTTACCAATGGTTCCAACTAATCTTGTTCGAGAACGGTTCGAAATTATAAGTCAAGAATTATGTTGGGAAGACTTATCATTTAAGCCATTTATTTCATATTTGCGACGAACTTATATTAATAGTAAACAATTTCCAATTGCTTCTTGGAATCATTACAATTATCTCGGTATTCGATCACGTACCAATAATCGTCTCGAAGGAAGCCATCGACAATTAAAAAAGTATATATAAAACTTTCTTTATTTATTTAAATAATTCTCTTTTACCTATGGGTTTTTTATCAGTTATATTTCTATGATTACTTTTCATTGATTTTATTTTCATATATTTAAATACTTCCTTTTTTGTATAATTAATATTTTTAGTTGAATTTTATCAAAACCTATTGATACTGCAGAGGGTTGGCACTTTAACTTTAAAAAAATCCAAGTTAAATCAGAATTTCTTCCACTAAAGAAGGAATTCGGAAGACAAAAAGGAATGTTTTATAAAGTTTGATCAAAAGTTTTCGTGACTGAGGAATATGAATTTGATATCGGCTTTTCGAAATTTTGACTTTGATTTTTTCAGAAAAAACTTTTTTGTAAAAAGCTTTGTTTTGTCAAACAGTCATTCTGTCTGTGAAAGTTTTTTTTTCCTTAAAAAGTCACTTTTTCACAAAAAAACTCTTTTTTTGTAAAAGTTATTTTTTTTACGCAACTTTTTTGTGAAAAACCATATTCAAAATTTCGAGGAGCCGGTTTCAGATTTGGATTCTTCAAGCTCGAAGACGTTTGATCAAACTTTATATAAAATTGCTTTTTTCTTAAAAAAGTTTCTTTAGTGGAAGAAATTCTACTTTAACTTGGATTTTTTAAAGATTAAAGTGCTAACCCTACTCAGTACCAATACCGGTCAATATCAATACTAGTCATTACCAAACGGTATTGCTTTTGTGATAGGCCTAAGTTCACTATTGAAAATAATAATAATAATCTAATTATTTCTCATGTATAAATAGTCACACCCGCGATATCTTAAACCTTCAACCATCTACAATGCAGCAATTAATAATGTTGAAGAAGTTTCCTTACCATCGTTAACAACAGTTCGCGAGCGTAATCAAGTATACAATGTGCGGCAGAAAAGTGAATCCAATGCAGAAGAATATTTAGCTATTTTGAGAAACTTAGAAAAATCTAACAGCATCGTGGCTCGTTTTTCGATGAGTCGAGGGGAAGCGCCAGTGTTGGTGTTGTCACAACCATATATGATTAGAGAATTAAAACAGTGCTATATTAATCCTTCAGATCAAACACAACCATCCGTATTATGTAATTTTCAGTTTTACTTTTCTAATAGCAATCTATTGTTAATCTGAATAGGTATTGATACAATATTTAATCTTGGCCGCTTTTTCATCACACCAATAGCATTTCGAAACACAGCTGTTCAATATCGAAAAACTAAGAAGGCACCAATTTTTATTTGACCGACAATGATTCATTACCGAAATGGTACACAGTCGTATCAGGAGCTATTGGATTATGGACGTCGTGAACTGGGCGATTGTAGTACACTCGTGATTGGTAATGATGAAGCAAAAGCAATTAAAAAGGCAGTAGACAATGTCTTTCCGGATTCGACCCATCTTTATTGTACGCGACATGTGCGTCAAAACATTGAACGGCAATTGATGAAACACCGTACGACATACGACGAACGTCGTGGCTTATTGGAACTCATATTTGATTCTTCTGCGTCTCTTATTCAGTCTGAAACAGAAGAAGAATTTCAAGACAGATTGAACGAGATAAGTGAATATTGGAGAACGATCCAAAGACGTGTTCAAACTCGTTTTAATGGTGCTGCAGATTTTATCAATGGTTCAACCAGTATCAAACAAATATTTTTCGTAATCGTTTAATAGCTGCGGTCCGTATACCCTTCAATTTTCTCGATAGAAATGGTTCTCCTCGTCTGTTTTACAACAATGACATTGAGTCTATGAATCATAGTTTCAAGAATCAAACGAACTGGGAGCTTCGATCTTTATCCGAAATCATCGATATTATCGGACAACTAATAACAAGTCAAAAAAATGAATTCATCAGAGCTCTGTATGATTCTGGAGAGCTAGAACTAGTACCTCCTTATTCCAGGTAGACATATGTAGTCATTATCATAACTTATTACTCGAATATTCATAGATTTGTCTGTGGCTCACATATATGGTCTGCTAAAAGAGTTTAAGAGCGCAACGAGATTATTGACAACTACTATAACTATACTTCTGCAGCTTCGAAACCGAGACGTAACGTTAACATTCCCCAAAATGCATGAAGAAAACCAGGCTGATCAAATGTTCGTGGATCATCAACAGTCACAAGAAAGAATACTTATTAGAAGCGGCTTTTATTAATCTTATGACTTTTATTTCTAGCATGACACTATCTAATCTCTACTTCTAGTACCCATACTCGCATCTATTCTCGCCAAAATTTAGAATCATTTTATTATATAGTGAAAAGGTAATCAGTGGGCAGGAAAACAATCATCATAAATGTTTTCAATAAAATTTTTTTTAGAGTAATTTTTAGTCGATGATAATGATTATTGATAAATATCAATGATTAATATAATAGATGTATATAAGATATTGAGATATTTTTATTGCATCAATTTGATCATATTCAATATATTAGAATATTTCATTAATTTTTAACTATCTTTAAGTTAGAATTACACATAAAAGTGATTTGAATATTATGCAACAGTATACTAAGAAATATTTTTATATTTTGTTTATATTGTGGGGTATAAAATGACTACTACTCAGATGTTGATAAAATTTTTATTGAAATTTATTATCTATTTCAAGATGTTTTCATCATTTTTTAATGTTTTTGGAATTAAATACATAAGAAAGTGTTTCGAATTGTATGTTCGAGATTGAGTTATAGTTTTCTCGTGCTATTAGAACATTATATTTGGGTCCATTGGATTGTTTTTATAACCTAACTCAACATTAACAAATGTTTTTATATGTATATTTTTTTTAATTTTTATGTATTTCTACTTATTTTATAATTTTTTATCATTTCGACATGTGTTTTTAAGATAAGTTTACTTGGAAAACTAGTTCAATCATATATCAATCACTAGATTACATGGATCTGTGGGTGTTAGTGAAGGTAAGTTGAGTGCTATTGACTTGTTATTACGGATCTTTTGGTTGTTAGTAGGTATAAGTTGACACATCTAGACCTATCTAGCGTGTTTCCAACGAAAAGTTTTTCATAAAAATCTATCCGGGGGATAGCACATATTCGTGTCAAAATGTAGGTTATGGAATTCTGTGGATGTCCGTAAGAGCAACCTGGGATGTTTGTGTGAGATGTAAGAGAGATTCTGGGTGTTAGTGTTGAGGGGGAGGGCTATTTTTTAGTGTTGGTTGACGTTTTTTTTCTTTATGACTCGTAGAAAGTGGGTGCTCGTGGGTGTTTGTGTACATAACTCTCCGAGATGCGGGTGTTCGTAAAGGTGACTTATATACGATTTTACAAAGTTGGGTGTTTGTGGTGTTCTCATAAATTACGAATACCCTTCTTAGTTCGATCTAAGATAATCCTAACATGAAAGAGAAAAATGAGTAATATTATTATGTCAACAGTTCGCACCTTTTGCATTTCGACATGCGATAGACCTAACCGAAATAAAATAAGAATTAATCATATTATCTCAAGAATTCTTATCTTCTTAGTTTGATCCGAGATTATCCTAAAATGGAACAGAAAAATGGTTAATACCATTATTTCAGGAGTTCTTACTCTTGTATTTTTATTTGAGATGAACCTGAAGCAAAATGGAATATGAGTTACTTTTATTATCTCAAGAATGCTTACCTTAGTATCTCGACTGGAGATGAACCGAAAACGAGACAGAATAGGGGTTAGTCATATTCTCTCAAATGTTTCTACCATTTTATTATGACTTCAGATGAACCTAAAACAAAACAGAACAATGGTTAATATTATTATTTGAACAGCTCTTACCTTGCTATTTCCATTGCAAATTAAGCTAAAATAGAATAAAACAATGATTAAATTTAGTATGTCACCAGTCTTTATCTTGACATTTCGGTTTTTAGTGCCTCTAAAATATAACAAATGAATGATTAATTTAGTATTCTAAGAGTTCTTACCGTGGTATACTCATTTCCAATAGGCCTCAACATACTAAAAGAATGATTATCTCAGTATTTTAAAAGTTCTTACCTCGGTATTTCGATTTCCAACCAAGGGTGTCATTTTCCTGTAAAAGTTAAACAAATATAAATTACTAGTAACTAAAATTTAAAACAAACTTAACTTATTTGCTTTTTGTGACTCATTACATTCAAAATTAAATTAAACTGTTCCATTTCTTCATGTGTTTTATAATTCTTCAAAAGATATCTAATGATAGTCTCTATGAATTTTTAAGGGCTAATCAGGGATGATCCCAATAACTTTTGGAAGGCAGTCTAGAGGCAGATCTTATAACTTCCCAAGGACTATCTATAGATAGCCCTTGGAGAGTTATAAAGAATTTCTTAGATTATCCTGAGTCAGTTATAAGGAGTGTCTCTAGATAACCTTTAAAACGTTATAAGGATTATACTCAGGCAACAATTCACAAAATATAAAGACTTCCTATATAGCCTTTTGGAGACTGTAGACATTATTCTTAAATAGCCCTCGAAAAGTTAAAAAGACTTCTCCTATATAGTCCTTAAAAGGTTATAGGGATTACCCTTGGAAAATTATAAAGACTGTCTCTGCATAGCTATTCGCAGATTATAGAGATTATCCTGATGTGGATCTTGAGAAATTATAGAGACCCTCCTTCATAAGGAAGGGTTTTCTAAGTTCTCAAGAGCCATATAATGGTAATCCCTATAATCTTCTAAGGGCTATCTACAGGCAGTTCTTATAACCTTCCAAGGGCTAGCTAAGAATAATCCCTATAACATCTCACAGGTTATCCAAGGAGTATCAGCATTGCTTCTAGACAGCTCTTGAAATGTTACAGGGATTATTCTCAGATACCGCTTGGAAAGTCATAAGGACCCCATTATATAGCCTTTGGAAAGTTATAAAGACTTATATAGAAATTGAATAATTTAATCAAATTTCTAACTTAACAGATTCCAAAAAGCATATAAATTCAATTTAAAATGACCTAAATTTGTTAGAATTTGGATTTATTTT